GCTGGAGTTGGCTTACACAACCATACCTCTTAGTTGGCCTTTGTGAGAAGAGATGTCGCCCTATCTGTGAAATAGAACCAGCTTTGTCCAGCCAGCTTCTCTCCAGACCTTTATAACTCCACCCTTTTGCAGATACAACTTGCCTACTTGGCCTCTCCATCTTTTAGTTGTCTAAGAAATCTCCCATAGCCTTGCAGTTTGAATTGGAATAAATATCTTGCAGAGCCCATTTCAGGATAGGCAGCTGCCTTAGAATTCAGCATAAAGTCAATAACCTTTCAGGCTTGCAGATTCCAGGATCCTGCCCCTACCCAAATGGCTACATTGAAGTTAAGCAACACCTTGGCCTCAGCCCCATGAATCTGAGTCAGCTGGCACAGATCAACATGAGTTTTTAATTGCAGTGTGGACATGCTCTTAGACGCATTAAAGTGCATGCTAAAAGTGTACTTACTAAACAAACAGAATAGAATTCCACAGGGGTTAATTTACAAAGGAGCTTGCCCTGTTCACCACAAGAATCACAATGGGGATTAATGGTAAATTTGAGTTAGTTTTTCTTGGAAGCAAGACCAAAGATTAACAAGGTACATAGTTGAAAATAATGACACTCACACAAGATCCATCTAGTCAAAATTCATAGTCAGAGCCATGCTGTGTAATAGGCTTGATAGAATTCCATATTTTTTTTTTCAATTTTGACAGATAACAATGTTTATTTTATAGTACTTTTTCTGTTTTCGTACATTTACGTTTTCACAATTGTGGGAAATGATCATCATCAGGGGTTCAGACAATAATTATTTAGTGACAGCAGACATTGAGAAATAAAAAGCAAAAAGCTTTGTAATGGTTGGAACTCAAATTGTCAATATCCCATGTCAAAATATACTAAGTAAATATCCTTAAATTAAACTCAGATGAATTGGCAAGCTGTGTTTTTCTCTCTTCGCCTATTTGTACACATCAGAATTGATGGAAGTATTTTTTTCATCAGTGTGTGTGTGGCGAAGTCAACATTTACTGATTAAAAAGTCTCATTCTTCCAAACTCTATGTGTAATACTGCCAGCAGTTGACAGATTCATTTTTTCAGCTTTATACATATGAGTAATTTTACACACATGATTGCTCCATTGAACAAAGCCATTGCCAATCTACCTGAGTAGGTACTGGGGAGGTTCCTCCCCTCTCCCGTTCCATGCATAATTGTGCTATGTCCCTGAGCCACAAAGTACTTCTGGAAAGAACTTTACATTACAATCCAGCTACTCCACGTGTTACAAACTTTTCATTTTCTCTTCACTTTGCATCTTTGCCATCTGTTTTAATTCCAGAGAAGAAAATTGTGTTCTAACTACCTGTAAGTAAAACATGAGAACCCCACAACTTCTATCCTGAATGATTTGCCAAGAGACAGTGTTACTAGTAGGTGTCATTGGTTGTTCTTCATCTAATTGTAGTTTTTTTTTCCCTTTTTCTCTTTCAGTGTGGCAAAGGTGGTGAAAACTTCGACAAATTCTTTACTCGAGGACAGCCAGTGTTAACACCACCTGATCAACTGGTCATTTCTAATATAGACCAAACAGATTTTGAAGGGTTCTCCTATGTCAACCCACAGTTTGTACACCCTGACTTACAAACTGTACTATGAAACTGATAAATATGAACAAACCACACAGTGGGAACTGGTCCTCCTTTCCCTAGAATTTTTAGGCCTTTGCCTTGTTGGTTCCAGTTTGGCCTGAAAATTGTAGGGTTAAAAATATAGGAGGAGGGGTGGAAAAAAGGACATTTGTTGAGGATTTGGCTTTGCAACAAAGAGAAGTCATCTTAGTAGGATCTTATGTAATATACAGTGCCCATTTATTGACCTAGAAGTCACTACTGGCTGTAGAGTACTCTTATAAAGTTAGCCGTTTTGGTACATTTTAATATATTTGCATAATTTCTATTGTCCTTTTCCCCCCTCACCTTCAGCACTGGAAAAAGCATATTAGAAAGAATGTAACAGCATCCATAGACTGAAAAAAAAAACACCTTAAAATGGAAGTCTTCAGCCTTTAAATGTGGATAGCATGAAATGTGGGCAGTAGGCCCTTTTGGTCTTTCTGAGGACTTCTGATGGAAGGAAAGCACAAGTAACTGAATGGCAGGATCATTGGGGGGAGGGCACTGTATAAGATTGTTCAAAACGAGATGTTTCAGAATAATTAATTTTAGTAAATGATGGAGAGGTACTGGGTTTGGGTTTTTTTTTTAATGAAATAAAGTCAGACTTCTGGGCTTTGAGACTTAATAGCACAAAACAGAGACAAATTTAAACATTTTCAGTAGCAGCCAGATATTTAGGAATGACGGTAACTAGCACTCATGAAAATTTTAGCTCAAGGATAAAATTACGTATTTAATAATAATAATAATAATAATATAAAAATAATGCTTGTGTTAACTATAATCTCTATGAGATTATTCTGTGATCCGGGGTGCCATTGTTAGTTATATTAATTTAAGTTACACGACTACTCAAGTTCATTGTTAGCCAGTTCTTCTAATAACAATATTTTGCTATAAAATTTTTGTTAACCAGTGTGTGAAACAGAACTGTAGCTCCTTACAACTCACCCACACTTACTGATTTAGTAGGCTGCAGAATAGGGTAGTAGAGGAGAACACTGTGTACAGTAATTTAAAGATAGTGTGGAGTTCTGAGTCACTTCCTGCTTTCCCCCAGGTAACACAGGAAAATTTTAGGGGGATTTTTTTGTCAAATTTCCACTTTAAATATTGTTTTAAAACTCATGGAGAAGTGGAATATTGGAGCCTCAAGAAAAAGCAGTTAAATATTGATTGGAAGAAGGGAATTTAATACATTTTGCATCTGCTTCATGCAATGAATTTTGCATGTTTAATAATAACCTTTAATAATAAGCAAATCTATTATTGACATAATCGTATCAAGTATAAAGAGAGTATTATTAAAAATTAAGACAAAATTGTGCTATGTTTGTGAAGGTTCTTGTTCTGAATGAGCATTATAATTTAGATTTAGCTTAATGTTTTATTGTTAATTTTTTGTTTGGCTTTGTTTTTTATTTTAGTTTATGGATATGGTCAATGGGGTAGGATATACTATGTTTTTTTTTTAAATGTAGATCTATTTTTAAACAATAATGGCTACCTGCCGGTTTTATACAAGATTCAATGAGGCTTTTATTTCACATCTCTGACTTGGGGAAAAAAAGAGAATAGATTTTCTGTATTTTCAGTGATGAACACTGTAATTAATACGTTCTTCTCTTGTAGCAATCACATGGTCAAAATGATTGATATTGCCTCTTAGAACTTACTAGAATATTGATTCAAAGATCAGTAAATATTTTTGTGCATATTTTGGTTCCATTACAGCATGTAAGTTGGTATAACCATTACCTTTTCCTTTCTCTTTTCCTTTTGCCTTGTTATTGGTAGCAATCTTAGATATTTTTTGCCTTCCGAATGTGCATGTCAATACCAGAAGCATGTTGTCTCTGTTGCTGCATGCAGAGTGATCTACCGGGTTTTTTCCAGCATGTAAACTTACTCTCATGCAACATAAAAATATTTCCCAGAAGACTTATACATGTATCAGAATCTATAGCAAATTTACCTATCAGTTTTGTATTACATTAGATCTTCTAAACTGTGCCAAAATACTGCAGAAGGGTCCAATCTTGTAAACTAGTACTCCTATGTCTGTTCGTGAATTCCTTGAGCATTCTCACAGATTGCAGTGGAATTATGTCTGGATGAAATTCAGCCATGTGCAGGGCGTCAGTATTAAGCTTATGTGTCTCTTCTACTCTCAAAAGCTGGTGACGATGTCACCGATGCATAGCCGTTGTGACTTGCACTGATGATCAGCACAGGAGTGGATGGACTAGATGGTGCTTGATCCTGTGATGAGTGCAGGGGGCAGGACTTGATGGCCTACCAAGGTTCCTTCCAGTTCTATGACTTCATCCACAGATAGTCCCATTGCAGTCACTGCAGTCACTCTCCTAAGGAAGGGTTTACTCATGTGACAGCTAAGTGAATGAGCACTCCTGGGCTTCCGGTAAAATGGAATATCCTAAGAGCTTAGAGAAGCACGCTGCATAGGAGGTGCATGATACACAAACCAGAGCTCAACTGTTGCCTAATTACAGAAACTTTAAAACGAAATTTTAAATTGTTTTAGGAATAATAATTTTTTTTAAATGTGTCAAAATATTAAGTTATCTGCCAAACCTCAGAGAGAATTGTCTTGTTTGCGTATCGTGTATATATATATATTTTAAATAGGTATTCATCATAAACTATGTAGACACTTGGGCTACGTCTAGACTGACATGATTTTCTGGAAATACTAACGGAAAAGTTTTTCCATTAAAAGTATTTCCACAAAAGAGCGTCTAGATTGGCACGGATGCTTTTGCGCAAAAAGTGATTTTGCGCAAGAAAGTTCCAATGGCCATTTTAGCCATCAGGCTTTCTTGCGCAAAAAAATAAGGTGCCTGTCTACACTGGCCCGCTTGCGCGAGTATTCTTGCGCAAGAGGGCTTATCCCTGAGCCGGAGCGGGAAAGTATTTGTGCAAGAAGCACTGATTTTGTACATTACAAAGTCAGTGCTCTTGCACAAATTCAAGCGGCCAGTGTAGACACCTGGCAAGTTTTTGCGCAAAAGCGGCCAGTTTTGCGCAAAATCTTGCCCGTCTTTTAGTATTTCATGACCTTCTATATTATTCTAATCTACTAACATTAAACACCTGACACAGGGTGACACAGCAAGGCATCATTTCATATTTGATGCAAGGTTCCGTAGATTACTTCAGAGGCTCAGATTTACAAGAAGGGCTCTTAACGTCATCCCTGCCGATATTGATGGGAGCTGTCATTAGGGGTGTGTCTGTATGGGATGATCCAATTGGCACTTGGTCCTGCCATGAGTGCAGAGGCCTGGACTTGATGATGTCTCTCAGTCCCTTCCATTCTAGTAGTCTGATTCTTTCCTGCAATAAAAAACCTCTGGCACCCAGTCTCAGTATCTGGCTCAACTGAATTGGGCTCAGGAAATGTAGGGCTACAATTGCAGTGCAGATGTTCAGGGTTGGGCTTGTGCCTGGTCTTGGATACCCTCGATCTCTGCAAGGCTTCATAGCCGAAGTCCAAAGATAATACTGCAATTAGTCTCACAATCCAAGCCCTATGAGCCTAAATCAGCTGACCCTGGCCAGCCTTAGCTGAGACTAGTAATGTATTGCTATGTAAATGTTCCCTTGGGGTATGATGTTGGGTATAATGGAGAGACTTGGCAAAGGAAAAAGTAGAAAAGAATAGCAGAGTACAGATGAGAGAAGCTGCAGGAGAGACCAAGTGGAACAGAGCCAAGCTGGGCACAAGACAGGAGGTTCGTGGGCAAGATAGAGCACTTGTGTTTTCCTTAGAAGGTAACAGTTGTGAAGCAGAGCTATGGAATTGATCAGTTGTGGATCCATATCTTAATTGTCAAACAGAACAATGTCTACTCAGGCTGGTCCAACATCCAAACTGCAAAATATTTTGCTTTCATTTCCTCAAGGGTTTTCATTTTATTTTCTTACCCATTTGCACATACTCTGCAATTGGTAAGGATAATAGCAGAAGTCATCTCTGATGATGATACCTCCCAGTTCCTATATTTGTGAGCTCTCCTGGCTTCTTGTGTAGGTTTTGTAATGCTGACAAAAAGGTCGTGTGAACTCACCCATCCTGCAAGAATAAGGAGCAGGACTGTCCAAAAGTGACTGACTGGACAAGTTATTGTTAATTAATTATTCTGTCTTACCCTTGAGGTTTCACATGAGCTCTGGTGTTGGGACCAGCCCTTTACACATAATTTAAAAACCCCATCCAATGATTTCTTCATGATTTGGAAATGTACGATAGAAAGTAAAACACTAAATATACAGCAAGAGTGCTCCTAATTCCATTTTAAAACAGTAGTCGTTCACATTAAAGTGACCCCGTTTTAGTTCCCTTTGAGACAACAGAAAAAGCCTGAAACTAGAATTTGACATTTTGTTGCATTAAAATGTAGGTGAAAGTTTTAAGAACCTGAGGGCATGTCTACAGTAGGAAATTATTTTAAAATAACTCCCGAAGTAACTATTTCAAAATAGTGCGTTCACACTACAGGGAAGCTTTGAAATTAGTCCGAGGCATGCTCCTTTAATGTGGACGTGCTACCTCAACTTAGAGCCCTAGGAAACACTGGGGAGTTAGTGAATCTGGGGAGAAGTTATTTTGAAATAGCACAGCTGAGTGTCCACACTACTGCTATTTTGAAATAACTATTTTGAAGTAAGAGTTATTCCTTGTGAAAAGCAGGCATTATTATTTTGAAATTATGGGCTTGGTAGTGGGGACATTCTGCTTGTTATTTCGAATTAAGGGTGTTACAAGATCCTGAATAGACTCTGCTCCCATTGATTTCTGCAGGACCCGAGAGCTCCCAGGAACTCCACAGTTAGGTGATGCTGGCACTATGCTGCAGCACTTACTAGATGCCAGTTGGGGTTTAACATGAATTGAGCTGAGGGCTGAGAGGTTGTTAAAACCTCCATTCACGGGGAATTGTAGCTATTGAGAGAGAGTTTTGGCTTCAGGCAGCTTATCTAAAACTTGTGATTGACCAGCTTCCATTTCTCCCCTCCCCCCAAATAAAACCCTAATCAACTGCCTATTTTTTAAACTAGTTGTTGGAACAAAAATTACAAGTGACATATTTTAACCTAATTTGTTAGAAACGCTCTCTGTAGATGCAAAACTCTGTCTGTATCCCAGGCTGAGGCAAAAAGACAGCGCTGCGTTACTAATTAAGCAGTGAAATAAATGGAGTCTATGTGTTCTTGTCTGTAGATGAAAACCAGCCCTATGTAGAGAGCTAGCATGAAGCTTTGGACCCACTTAAGTCACACTTACACTCAAGGAATGAGTCAGTTCTTTGGCTTCGTGCTGGGGTGGATTTCACTCTGTGGGCAAAATCCTTCAAGTCCTTATGCATGTCCTGTTGACTTCAGAGTGATGACTTGAGTGAGGAAAAGGCTGCTCACATGAGTATGGGTTTGCAAGACAGAGCCAGTTATTTGCACTCCACTGCTATTGCTAACCACTAGAATTGCACATGCAGAGTTCACACTCCTAACACTGCAAATTCCAATATAATCCAGATTAGAAATTTGGAGGCCGGGGGGAGGGACATTTAGTTTTCAAATGTTTCATAGCCTGCAGAAATAAAATCTGTTTACCCAAAAGACAATTCCACTGTCAAAATCATTCATTCGTGAATAAAGTCATCTATGTAGCAGGCGTACACTCTGATCCTTTAAAATCCTTCCTGTCCTGCAGGTTAGTTCCATTCGAAAACAACTAGGCTCCTAGAAAACAAACCAGAGGGAAAGCCTGTCCTCCCTGCAGGAAAGGTGGAATGTTAAAGGTCCAGAGTATTTCAATTACTGATACCGCTTTATGCGCATGTTTCCCTTCGGTGCATGCACATGACTCCAGTCAGGTTCACCATCAGAGAGATGCCCACCGACCACCGCCAGCACCCTGAGCCCTTTAAATCTCTGCTGGAGCACCTCACTCAGTGAGGGCTCGTGGGTGGCAGGGCCGTGGTGCCGTGCACCCTGGATGATGCTGAGGGCTGACTGCTCTAACCCTGCCCTTTCCATCTGTCCCCGCCCCTTCCAGGACTGTGACGCCAACACCCCCCACCTTGCCCAAGTGGCTGGCAAATCTGTCGGTCCTCCTTGATTCCAGTTAAACTGAGCAGGAGTTGCATGCAGTCATCAAAGGGAGACGATACCTCTTACAAAACAAAGCACAACATTGGATACACCAATGATAAATCTTCAATATCACTAGAAAGAGAATTTGTAGTATTTGCTTTGCAATAGCTGTGCTAACTTGCCAAGGAATTTCTAGAAATGTAATGTAATTTTGTTTGGTTTAGTCATTGGCATAAATTGTTGTATATGGTTTGTGTGTCTTTACAAATTTTCATGATGAATACAGGAACTCAGCTATCTCTGTGCTGTTAGTTTGGGAGACATTTTGCTACATTAAAAAGCAA